TCTTTTACTTTTTTGCCATCTTATTTGTTAAAAAAAAAAAGAAAAATCTGTATGCCTTTTTATAACTGTTTATTGTTGTTGCTGTTGTCCATTGTCGTCATCATTCTTCGTTGAAATCAGGTCTCTCTTGTAAATGAGTCCTCGAGGCTCAATGGGATTTACCTGTCTAAATAAAGGTTGAATGAAAAAAAAAAACTCACACAGTGACTACAGACCTGTGGCGTTGACATCACATGCCATGAAGTAGCTGGAGAGGCTGGTCCTGAAGCATGTCAGATCAGTGGTGGAACCATACCTTGACCCCCTCCATTTTGCATATCAGCCACACATTGGAGTTGATGACGCCATCATCTGCCTGCTGCACAGAGCCTACACTCACCTAGACAGGGCAGGCAGCTCTGTAAGAGTCATGTTCTTTGACTTTTTCCTGTGCTTTTAACGCCATAAGACCTGCTCTGCTCTGCAGTAAGCTCCTGGACATGCAGGTGAATGACTTGCTGGTCACCTGGATCAGAGACTACCTCACAGGTTGGCCACAGTATGTGAGGCTGCAAAACATCACTTCAGACACCATACTGAGCAGCACGTTTCTGTTCACCCTCTACACCTCGGACTTCTGCCATTGTGGGCTGCATCACTGGTGACCCAAGAAGCTGAATACAGAGCTGTGGTGGACAGCTTTGTGGAATGTTGTAGACAGAACCACCTGTAAATCAACGTTGGAACAAGTAAAGAGTTGCAGGTGGACTACAGGAAGAAGATCAGCCCCCCCCCCCCCCCCCAACCCTATCAACATCAAAGGTACTAAGGTGGACACTGTAAACTGCTGCAAGTACCTGGGGGTTCACCTAGACAACTAGCTTGCTAACACTAACGCCTTCTACAAGAAAGGGCAGAGTTGCCTTTTTCTTTTGAGGAGACTCAGGACCTTTAACATCTGCAGGACCATGCTGCAGATGTTTTACAATGTTTAATGACAGTCCTTTAAACAGACATTTTAAAGGTGTCGTGTATGTGTGTATGATGATAATGTTTTTGGAAGTTTGAACAAACATCCAACATCATCTTAAGAGCAGAATCCTCTCAAAGTCAGGTCATACGACCCTGCTGTTTTTTCTCGTTCACACACCCTGCACACAGAGTGTGACGGCAGTCTTTTAAACAGACTTTTTAAAGGTGTCGTGATACACTTTATGTGTTTATGATGGTAATGTTATTGGAAGTTTGAACAAATATCCAACATCATCTTAAGAGCAGAATCCTCTTACAGTCAGGTCGTACGACCCTGCTGTTTTTTCTCTCGCACACCCTGCACACGGAGGGTGACGACAGTCCTTTAAACAAACGTCTTAAAGGTATTGTGACCCACTGTCTCCCCTGCCAACAGAGTCAGAGTCAGAGTCAGAGTCAGAGTTTCTTTATTGTCATTCGCACCTCATGTGGTACATGTGGTGGAGCGAAATTATGTACACAGGGTCCCAGTTACATCCGACAATAAAATGTATAAGAAAAACAGTAATAACATCTAAGATATGAACTAAGAAAAACATCAACTAAATATACACTAAGCACTCATAACATAAAACATTGAACATCAGCACAAACATGAACATGAGTCTGTGAGCAGATGTGCACGCATGAACACATCAACATTGAAACAGATCAGCAGCAACATGAAACAGATCAGCAGCAACATGATATGGTTTTTCACAGTGATTATTCTAGTTAGAGATTCATAAGTCTAACAGCCTCAGGGTAGAAGCTGTTCCTCAGTCTAGTGGTTCTACACTTAATGCTCCTCAACCTCCTTCCTGAGGGGAGTGGGGCAAAAAGTGTGTGTGCTGGGTGGGTGGGGTCCTTCATGATGCAGGTGGCCCTCTTCCTGCATCTGGAGGTGTAGATGTCTGTGATGGTGGGGAGACTGATTCCAACAGATTTCTGTGCAGCCTTCACCACTCTCTGCAAAGCTTTTCTTTCTGCAGCTGTGCAGCCTCCATGCCACACATTGATGCTGGAGCACAGGATGCTCTCCACTGCACACCTGTAGAAGGAGGTGAGGACTGAGCTTCCCAGACCAGCTCGCCTCAGCCGTCTGAGGAAGTAGAGTCTCTGATGAGCTTTCTTGATCAGGCTGGTGGTGTTGTTGCTCCAGCTGAGGTTGTCATTCATGTGTACACCCAAGTACTTGTAGCTGGAGACCACTTCCACCGCAGATCCTCTTATGTTCAGAGGGGTGTAGGTGTTTTTGTTCCTTCTGAAGTCCACAATCATCTCCTTTGTCTTCTTCACATTGATGTGAAGGTTATTCTCTCTGCACCAGCTCTCCAGGTGTTCCACCTCCTGCCTGTAGCTGGACTCATCATTGTTTGTGATGCATCCCACCACCGCTGTATCATCTGCAAACTTTACAATGTGACAGCCTGGATGGGTAGCTGCACAATCATATGTGAGCAGAGTAAACAGAAGGGGGCTCAACACACATCCCTGAGGAGAGCCAGTGCTGAGGGTTATGGTGGAGGAGGAGAGGTTGTGGATCCTCACTAACTGTGGTCTGTTTGTTAAAAAGTCTAGTACCCAGTTGCAGATGGAGGGGCTTAGTCCTAGTGTGGATAGTTTGTCCATCAGGGTTTGGGGGATCATGGTGTTGAAGGCGGATGTGAAGTCCACAAAGAGCATACGGACGTAAGAGTTTTTCTGCTCCAGGTGGTTGAGCGCAGTGTGGATCACAGAGGAGATTGCATCCTCTGTTGATTGGTTCTCACGGTATGCGTACTGATGAGGGTCCTCGTTGATGTTGATGGTTGTTTTGATGCGAGTCATGACCAGTTTTTCGAAGCATTTAGCGACTATCGGGGTGAGGGCCACTGGCCGATAGTCATTCAGACCAGTCACTGTAGAGCTTTTTGGGACTGGGATGATGGTGGCAGTCTTCAGGCAGGTGGGAACTGTCTCCAGGGTAAGTGAGGTGTTAAAGATGTCTGCCAGCACCTCACAGAGCTGATCAGCACATTCCTTCAACACTTTTCCAGGGATGTTGTCTGGGCCAGTTGCTTTGTGCGGATTAATCCTCCTGAAGGTACTCCTTACTTCTGCTGAGGTCACGCTGAGATGCTCTTCATCCGGTGGTGAGGTGAGTCTGGTGCTGGGTGGTCTGTTCGGGTCTTCAAAGCGTGCATAGAACTTGTTGAGGGCATCAGGCAGAGATGGGTCTTTGGGCCATTGTTCACTCCTTCCTTTATAATCTGTTATGCACTTAATGCCCCTCCACA